GAGACATATATAAAAACCTGAAAGAAAAAAACTGCCACCCAAGAATCCTCTATCCAGCAAAGCTGTTAATCAAATATGACGGTGTAATCAAAACATTCCAGAATAAACAGAAGCTAAGGGATTTTGCCAAAGCCAACCCTGCTATGAAAAACATCCTAAAGGAAATTCTGTGGACTGAGAACCAACAATAACAGTAAACAACTATAGAATGATGTACGTGGCAGCATCAACCTGAACTCAGTCGAAAAATGGAAGAGTCAAGAATAGAATAAAATGATAAGAACAGAGGATCTGGGAGGTCAGTCTATGATCAAAACAATTACAATGTGAAAAAAGGGAAACAGAGGAATAGAGATCCAGGTGGTGGGAAGGTCAGGTAGATTATTGGATAAAACAAACTGTCTTAAATGGAGGGAAGAACTATTGGAATATAAGGTAACCACAATGGGGTTAGGGTGGGGTGTTTACTTTGGGTGTTGGGGAGGGCAATACAAGAAGGGGGGGGAGGCAGAAGAACAAGATAGATAGTGGAACACTGAGACAGGTTTGCATGGCTTATTGGAACAGAGGTAAATAGTGATGCATACTCAACCTTGGAACAACAGGGCTCTGGGATAGGGGATCTAGGTATAGCTTGAAGAGGGTAAGTAATATTAAAATCCTTGACTGCCTTATGAATGTTTCCCTTGCCTACTATTGTAAAGTAGACATCTGAGTGGGAGAGAAAGGAATGTTGGGAAAACTTGAAGCCCATCTTCAGCCTATAACTGACTGGAATACCTAAAAGGGGTTCTACAACTTGCCCAGTGACAGGCCTCATGCAAAGCCTTTACAGAGTATAGGACCTTATGTGGAATCCTGAGTCCTATCCACAACCTTATGAGGTGAGACATTCCCAGTTGAAAGGACAAGCAGACTGGAACAGCTACAGTGACAGATGATGCATCTTCATGATGAACCTGACCTATACTCAGAGCAGTACTCTAAATACCAACAGAGAGGTAAAGAATCTTCAAATCAAGTTTCAATGCTATCCACTCTGTACACAGGGTGGATAGGAACGGGCAACTTAGACATTGGCTACCTAAAATGGGGGGGTGCGGGGGGAGGCAATAAAGGCACGAAGTGACTGGCTTACAAGGTTTCAGGAGGGAGTTTAGCTTAAGAGTATGGGGGAAAAGAAATAGCTGTCATCTTGTCTAGATGGGTCTGGTGAAAAGAGATGTGGATAAGATTTGTATGATTCAATAGTGAATAACTGTTATCATGACTAATCGTGACTGTCACAATTGTAAAGGTAGAAGTTTTGTAACAAAAACAAAAGAGTGGTTAATCTTACCGTCCAGAAACAGAGGACCCTAGAACCATCAAGACAGGAACACACAAGCAGAATGAGGGACCTTATCCAGAGAAGCAGCAGCGCCAGAGATGGGTGCATGGAGAGCGGGAGCGGCTGAGGACTCTAGGTTCATGGACTAAGAAAAGAGGGACTAAGAGGTGGTGGCCAGTAGAAGAAGACTTGCAGAAAGTGCCCTTTGGAGATGTAAATTATTATATATCCCTGAGTGGGTTTTTTTGTTTGTTTTTTAAAAAGCTACTAAAGTGGATAGAGAGAAATACTGTTAACTTAAGGTACATGGAGGGGATTATAACCAATGTAATGAAACAAGGTATATGATTTGTTGAATGTAAAACTGATGATATGCCCTATAAACTTTCACTCAATCTACAATAAAAACCTTAAATTTAAAAAATATATAAAATAAAAATTAAATTTAAAAAAAATTAGCCTGGTATATTTGGTCAAACATTTAATTAACCAAATTGATGGCAATTAACAAAACAAACAATGTGACAGCTGGAACTATGGTTGCTTTGGCAGGGCCAAAACAAATTATGCTCCCTACCCCTGGCCTAATGCAATGTATCATTTATTTATTTATTTATTGGCTACTGCTTGCCTGGGTGTAAAATGAAGTCTTTGACAACTCCAAAACTTCAGTCTTTTTTCCATTTATCATGATGTTATGTATTACTCCTGCTGTGAGGACTTTTGTTTTCTTTACATTGAAGTGCAACCCATACTGAAGGCTACCACAAAAGATTTCACCAAGAGTAAATAGAGAGCCCACACACCATGAAAATATTTTTTGCAATAACATATCACACAAGGGACTATGAGACTACTCTCTAAAATTCATAGACAATACAACACCTGGGGTTGATCTAGCTTCCATTGCTCCAAAAAGTCTGGAGTCAATGAGACCTTGAAATTCTGTTCTGCATTTTTCTCCTCTTGCATGGAAAGAATTTTAAATTTTGCTCTAAGCCCAAGGAAAAGTCAAGAGAGTGGAAACCAGGGAAGGGATACTGGTTTACATTCTAGAGGGATCGTTTTAGCTGATTCTTTGGAAAATATTAACTATTGAGAAACAAGGCAAAGTAGGGAAACCCACTTATCACAGTCATAAAAACGGAGATCAGAGTCTTCAACTAGTAGTAGTATAAGAGATGGGAAGTGGGATATATTTTGAATATTGAGCCCATAAGATTCACTTAAATGAATGCATGAACCTAAGTGGGGAAAACAGGTGTCAAGGATGATTTCTACCATAAGGGATGGGGAAGTTAATATATCATTTACTGAACTTGGAAAAATTGAGAGGAACAGGTTGAAGAAGAAAAAACAAAAATTAGTTTTGGTCATAAATACTTTAAGATACCTATTAGATACTCAAAGGAGCCCTGGTGGTGCAGTAGTTAAGCACTTGGCTGATAACTGAAAGATCGGCAGTTGGAGAAAGTGGTCAGTCTGCATTCATAAAGATTTACAACCTTGGGAACCCTACTCTATGCTATAGGGTTGCTACGAGTTGACGGCGTATAACAGCAATGGCTGTGGCAAAAACCTGGGCTGAAGCTCAGGAAGCCTGCCTAGGTGGTGGGGTGTAAGAAAGACCTGCACAAGGCACAGGGAGACCAGCATGGTCATCAATGAGTTCAGAGTTCTTATGTTTGTTTTCAAAATAGAAATTTATTTCTATAGTAAAGAATTAAAATATAGCTGTGACAATAAAAAATATAGGAAATTATTTAAGATGTGCAACAATAATATTTTTAAAGTAAGTTAAGCTCTAGAGTTTATGCTCAAATTATATCTGAAAGACCAACCAGTATTCTATGGATTATTAACTACACTAGGAAAAAACATACCACTTACAGTTTTAATTGGTAATTACAGCTCAAAAACAGGTTTATATACCTAGATGAGTGCTTTTGAAAATATTAGTACAAATATGGGGGATACATTTTTTTGAATCTGGCTTCATTTCATTGATGAATCTACTTCCAATCGTCACAAGGACTGCATTTTTATTAGTTCACCCTTATAGTTAAATAATGAATACTTTTTGGATAAAACTGTTTTGGTAAAAATGGGTCAAGATCATCATCTTTCACTATCATGATATGAAAGCTTGTAAACTCATGCTTGTGAACTCCCAAAACTTGGTTTCCACAACGTGGGTCTCAAATTTAGCTAATACTTTAGAAGAAATATCAAATTACTTGTACCCATTCCTTCCCCAGAGTTGCATTTATAATTATGATTTAGGAATATCTGTATGCAGAACAAACAAATGAAGTGGAAGATGTATGGATAGCATAAAGAAGAAATCTCTTCAGGAACTACTGTTTTAGATTTGTAGTTTGCAGAATAGGATCATCTTCTCTAGGAAGAATAATGTCAACATAGCAGGATTATATTCACCAAGAACCCCAGAGCCAATGGATCTATCACGTGGCAGGAAGCCAAACCTTCTGGTTGCTCACAACATCACTCAGCTTCCCTTTAATCTTCAGAAAGTGTCTCTTGAACTCCAGTCCATCACCCTATATTAGGTATAAGATATAAAAATTATGTTAAAATAAAAAACAAAGGACTATGCTATAAAAGTAAATTTCAGTGGTAACTAAAAGACATATACATAGATTACATCCAGTTACAATTCCCTCCAGGTCCTCCTTTTGTGGAAAACAAAAATTCTGACAGAAGCTAAATAAATCATTCTGACCAGGTTTTTTGCCTATCACTGTGTGGTGCTGTGGGATAATGCACTGGACTGCAAGGACCATTTGAACCATAAAATCGGTGATTAAAATTCACCAGTCGCTCCTTGGAAACCCTACATAGGGTCACTATGAGTAGGAACCAACTTAATGGCACTTAACAACAACAAAGATCAGAAAGCAGAAATAAAACACCCTGTCCATTTCAGGTGTTAGTAGGTTTGGCACAAAGCCTCTATTTTCCATAGGCAGTGGAGTTTTACAAACTAAAAATAAGCTACACAACTATACTAAAGTCTTGTCACAAAACTTGCATCAAAGTCATTCAATTCAGTTACAAGTCAAATCAGTTCACTACTGTGGCATCTTAATAATTAAATTCCATAGCAAACATCTCAATAACAGTATTACAGCAAATTTCCAATATAAAAGTGTGACCTACTCCGCCAAACTTGTTTGGTGCCTGTACACGCTTTAAGAAATAGAGAAAATGCTATTTTGGTTTTACATACAAGGGTTTAAAACTACAACTTCAGAACCAATAATTTCTAAGAAAATAATCAAGAATGTAAACAAAAATCTACATATAAAAAAAAATCATAGAATAATTTGTAATAGATAAAAAATTCTTTAAGCTTAATGCTCAGGAGTCTGGTGCAAGATGGTGGAGTTAAGTGAAGGCACTGAGCTGACGCTCTGCTACACAGACATGAGTGACCGAGTGAAACAGATACAAGTGGTGGTCCTGGAACCCTGAGCTTCAGTGAACAGGACAGAGAGGTAGATTCAGCACTGACTGGAAGAGAAAGCAGAATAGGAGGAATGAAATGGAAGAAAAACAGGCAGGCTGTGGATTGGCATGGAGAAGTATGGCCATATTGGGCTTCTGTTGAGTGGCTGTCGACACAGCGGCATGAAGGTGTTAATTCTCTCTTGTTCCCGTGAACTCCTGGTAGCTGGGCGTGTGTCCAGACCCCACCGCCACCAACCCAGTGGCCATTGACATCCCCTCCTGCACAGCATCTGCTCTACCTGGGATTGTGCACCTGGCATACCGCTCCTGGTTTTGGAGGCATTTGGATCTACCCTGAACTACTCAGGGAATTTAAAAGAATGCTAATTTATCTGTTTTCCTTGATCTGCAGTTTTCTGGATCATTCTTGCGATCTGTTGAAGGTACCGAAATAGCATTCTTTTGAATTCCTTTCCAAGCATTTCTAATTTTGGTGTCATGTTTTCTGATTCTGTATTCTGGTCATTTGTTTAAGATGCTCTGTCTTGTTTCTTTGTGTAAGCTGAAATTGTTTGTTTTCTCTGAGACATTGTGGTACCTGTTTGTTGTATATACATTTATCTGATGATATTATATAGGTGTGTTCTACCTGTCACCTGGTAGATGTGGTAGATCCTGGAAGTGTGAACAAAGCTTCTGTTCACCATTTGTGTAGTGTAGTTCAGGGCAGTTTCACAGACCTCGAGAAGCAGGGGTACTATACCAGGTGCCCAACCCCAGGCAGAACAGAGGCTGTACAGAAGAAGGGAGGGCCACTGGCCTCTGGTTTGGCAAAGGCAGGACTAGACACCCCTCCAGCTATCAGGGAGGCATGGAAACAAGTGTAACTGCACCACCTTGTTGCCAACATCTAGCCGCATCCTGTGTCTGCAGGTCCCACTATCATAGTCACTTGCAAAAGAACAAGATGGGCGTGCTGTTTCATGCCAGCCCACAATTTTTCTTCTCTCTCACTGCTCCTGTTCCCCCCTCTTCCAGTTGAGACTCAATTCACCTATTCTATCCTCTGATTCAGCTCAGGGTTCCAGGATTATCATCTGCATCAGTCCCCAACATCTTTGTTGCACAAGGCTCAGGGCATCAGCCTCCTCTGTCAACGTGCCAAGTTAGAATGTACAAACATTTTGACAAATCATAATTTTTCATAAAAAAGGTATTATAGATAAATGCATTAAGAAAAAGACTGGAATGCTTCAAATTGTTAAAGGTGATTACTACTGGGCAGTATAATTTAAGTTTCATATTTTTTCTTAATGTTTTGAAGAATGTTAACAAAAAATTTCATAATATTACATGACAACAGTGATCATACATTCATAAATATAATTTTTTAAAACTCTATAATGTAAATATTATCACAGACAAAATACTGTAATTATATACCAAAGTAAATGTGTTATTTCTGGGAGACAAGATTAACTTTCTTATTTTCTTCTTTATACTTTCCAATAATCTTTATACTTTTTAACAATGGTTTTTTGACAAGTAGCAATAAAATTTTGTTTGTTTTTTTTTAAAAAAAAAAAAAACAGTTGCTGTTCGATATACCTTAGAAAGTCGGAAGTCTACCAAGATCTTCTCATTCATTTCCACCAAGTTCACTTTGAATATTAATTTATTATTTCTCCTGTCAGTTGTTGATACAGTAACCTAATGTAATAAAAAGAAAGTTAAGCCAGATGTGTGAGTAAACGATACTCGTAAAAAAAAAAAAAAAAACCCGATAATCTCAGGCCAATGATTTAGAGAGCCCAGTCAACAGTCAGCACCAGTACTCCACACATGCAAGGTCATCTTAGACCCTTGACCCAACAGAGACATTGGATAACTCAGATAAGACGAACAAGTCCAAGCAAGGTCAACAGAATTTATTAAGGTCAATATAAATTGCAGGATCATTTTGTAATAATTCTCACTTTAAGAAATTAGTATAGCTACACACAACTGTACCATCCATAATTGGGGAACAGTGTGGAAGAATGCACAATGATGTGGGTAAATTTATTACAAAATATTGACATATACATTAAACTCTAAAAGTTCAAAGTCAAAGAAATAGTTCTTCAAACATTCAGGCAAAACCCAAAGTGAATTGAAGAATGATGTCAACAAAAATGGTATGACAGCCTTTTCTTTTCTTGAGTTTTCACAATACTAGTCTCATACAATATTTGTCATAGTTCTGGTGTAGCGCTGTGGGTTAATGCACCAGACTGAAAAGCCGTTTGAACTGCAAGGTTGGAGGTTCAAGCTCACCAGCTGCTCCTCGGAAATCCTATACAGGGTCATTATGGGTCAGAACTGACTCGACGGCACTTAACTACGTCTTCTAGGTTCATCCAGGTTATGAAGTGTTTCACAGACTCATCGTTATTCTTTAATGTTGAATAGTATTCCATTGTATGTATGTACCAAAGTTTGTTTATCCATTCTTCCATTGTTGTGCATTTAGGTGGTCTCCAACTTTTTGCTATTGTGAATAGAGCTGCAATAACATAGATGTGCGTATATCTTCTCATGTCATGGCTCTTGTTTCTCATAGACATACATCAAGTAGAGGGATTGCAGGGTCATGCGGTATTTCTCTTTCCAACTCTCTGAGGAAATGCCATATTGTTTTACAAGTGGTTGAACCATTTTATTGTCCCACCAGCAATGTCGGAGGGGGTCAGTCTCTCCATAACCTCATTAGCATTTGTTCTTTTCTGCTTTTTTGAACTTTGCTATATGGTGTGGTGCTGTATGATCAGTACTGGATTGCGAACCATAAGGTCAGCAATTCAACTGCTCCTCAGAAACCGATACAGGGTGACTATGAGTCAGGCCCAGCTCAATGGCACTTAACAATGGTATCTCACTTACTGGTTGCCTGAATGTGAACCTTGGTGAAGTACCTGTTCATGTCCTATGCCCTTTTTTAATTGGGTTGTTTCTCTTCTTCTTATAAAAGTACTGCAGTTTTCATAAATTTTAGAGATTAGTCTGTTGTGTGATACATCATAACAAAAAATTTTTTTCCAAATGTGTGGGCTCGCTATTTACTCTTATGGCAAAATGTTATGATGCATTTAAGTGCTGATTTTTAGGTTACAATCATCTGTATTTTCTTCTACTGTTTGTGTACTTTTACTAATGTTTATGCCATCTATTAGAGTCCCTATGTTTGTCTCTATTTTTTCACTGACACTCTTTATGGCTCTAGGTCGTTAATCCATGCTGTTTGTTTTTGTATATGCTTCATTATTTTGCAAATCAATTTCCAGTTTTGCCAGAAACATTTGTTGAAAGACTGTCTCTTTCCCACATAATATTTTTGGCCCTTTGTCAAAGATCAGCTGACTGTATGTGGTGGTGGTGGTTATGTGCCGTGGAGTTGGTTCCAACTCATAGCGATCCTGTACAGTGTTTCTGAGGCTGTAAATCTTTATGGGAGCAGAAAGCCTCATCTTTCTCCCAAGGAACAGCTGGTAGTTTCGAATGCTGACTGAGGTTAGCAGACCAATTTGTAACCACTACGCTACATGATAGATTTAATTCTGGATTCTCAATTCTGTTCCATTGATCTAAGTATCTTTTATTATACTAGTACCAGGCTGTGTAGACCACAGTGACTGTGAAGTAATTTTTAAAATCAGAAAGTGAGAGGCCTCCAACTTTGCTCTTCTTCTTACATAATGCTTTGCTTATCCAGGGTCTCTTTCCTTTCCATATAAAGTAAGTGATTAGATTTTCCATCATCTTAAAGAATGATATTGCAATCTGAATAGGAATTGCATTATATTTATAGATTGCTTTGTGTAGTGTTGACATTTTCACAATGTTGTCTTCCTATCCATGAGCATGGTATGCTCTTCCATTTTTGTAAGTCTCTTTTGGTTTTTTGTAGTAGTGTTTTATAGTTTTCTTTGTATAGGGCTTTTGTTTCTCTGATTAGATTGATTCCTAAGTATTTCATCTTTTAGGTGGCTTTTGTAAATGGTATTGCTTTCCTAATTTACTTTTCAGAGCTGTCCTTATTAACATAGAGAAATCTAACTGATTTTTGTATGTTGATCTTATACTCTGCCACTTTGCTGAATCTTTCAACGAGTTCAAATAATTTTCCTGAGGTGTCTTTGGGATTTTCTATGTATAGGACCATATCCTCTGCAGAGTTTTATTTCTTCTTTGCCAATTTGGATGCCTTAATTTCCTTTCTTGCTTTATAGCTCTAGCTAAGACTTCCAACACAATAATGAATAGGAGAGTTGATAAAGAGGATCCTTGTCTGATTCCTATTCACAAGAATGCTTTCAGTTTCTCTCCATTGAGAATAATGTTGGCTGTTGGATTTGTATATCTGTTTTTCTTATGTTGAAAAATGTACCTTCAATTCCTATATTGTAAAGTGTTTTTATCAGGAATGGATGTTGGATTTTGTCAAATGCCTTTTCCACATTAATCAATACAATCATGTGGCTTTTTCCTTTATTTATATGATATTACATTGATTGTTTCTCTAATACTGAACCATCCTTGTAGTCACTTGGTCATGATGTATTATGAGGTTGAGTCAAAAATTATCCACACTCTATCTGTAGAAGTTATTTCAATCAACTTTTAGAAAAGACAAAAGCAGCATTTTTCTACATAATCTCCTTGTTTTTCAATACACTTTGTCATCTGTGAATAAGCTTTAATACTCCCTTATTAAAAAATGTTTTAGGCTAAGCTATGAGCAATGAATACACTGCTGTCTTCACTTCTTCATCAGAGGTGAATCTTCATCCTAGAAAGGCTGCTTTCAGGGAACCAAGCAAGTAAAAGTCTGATAGGGCAAGACCAGGATGCTGTAACACCTCAAAAGGAAGTTTTTGCAGAGTGACAACAGTGTGGATAGTGGTGGGGGGACATGCATTGTCATGCATGATCATAATGCCCTTATATACCAGTCCTCTGCATTTAATCTGAAGTTTAGGCTTCAGTTCTTCAGTGAGCATCTGTATCGAGTACTCTTGATTGTTGAACCTTTTTCCTGATAGTGCTCCCAGAAAACTGTAAGCATCAATTTTCCAGCTGATGGTTGATTTTTAGACAGTTTCTTGGTCAGCAATTGAGGATGTTTCCACTCTATATTCTGCTGTTTACTCTCAGGCTCATAGTAATGAATCCATGTCTCGTCACCAGTAATAACTTTTTTTAAAAGAAACTTTTACCTTCCTTCAAATATTGGTCCAAATTTTGTTTGTGGATGTCAAATGCTTCTGTTTATGCTCTTCTGTGAGTTGTTTAGGTCCCCATCTTGCACAAACTTTGCAATGCCCAAGTCTGTCATAGATCATTTCAAAGGCAGAGCCATAGCTGATTTGCAAATGATATGCCACATAATCCAGTGTCACTCATCTATTCGATGAAACATTTCACACGCATGCTCAATGTTGTCATCAACTGTGGACACGGACAGGCATTTTAATATAACCAGAGTGCGAATAATTTTTGAATCACCCTCATTTTCTTTGACATGTTGTTGAATTTTATTGGCTAGGATTTTGTTGAGAATTTTTGCACCTATGTTCATGGTAGATATTGGTTTATAATTTTGTTTCCTTTAGGTACGAGAGTTAAACTTTCTTCATAAAATGTATTCAGGAGTTATCCATTCTTTCTATGTTCAGAAATCGCTTAAATAAATTGGTGTTAGATAGAATTCATGATTCAAGTCATCTGGGCCCAGATATTTAAAATAACCTGATCAATTTCTTTTAGTTATAGGTCTGTTCAAGCTTTCTACTTCACTGTGTTAGTTTAAATAGGTCATGTTTTTCTAAATCTTTATTCATTTCTTCTAGATTTTCAAATATATTGGAGTATAGTTCATCATAATCTTGTTATTATCTTTTTTATTTCTGTTGCTCTAATCTTTATTATTTCTTTTCTTCTTGTGGCAGTAGATTTACTTTGCTGTTCTTTCTCTAATTGTTGGAGATGTTGGGTTACGATGTTGATATTGGTTCCTTTGTTTTTTGGGATGTGTTATAAACTGCTGTCTAAGCACTGCTTTTGCTGTTTCCCAAAAGTTTCATTCTCATTTCGTTCAAGGAATTCTTTTATTATGTTTTTCATTTGTTCTGTTACCCAGTAGCTTTGAAGCAAGCATTCAATTTCCATGTATTTGATTTTGTTTTACTCAAACAAAATCATGATCTTCCTATTGCTGATTTCTAATTTTATAATATTGTGATCTGTAAAAATGCTTTGTAGAATTTGAGACCTGTTTTGTAGACTAACATATGGTCTATTCTGGAGAATATCCACTTGCTGTATATTGTGTGTATTGTGCTGTTGTTGGGTTGACTACTCTACATAAATCTATGAGACCAAGTTGGTTGATTGGTTGTTTAGTTCTTCTGTGTCTCTGTTGATGTTCTTTCTAGCTATTCTGTCCTTTATCAAAAGTGGTATATTAAAATCTCCTACTATCATTATAGCATTATCTATTTACTTTATAAATTCTATTAAGAGTCTGATTTATGTATTTGGAGGCACTTTCATTAATAGCATAGAAACATTTTACAGGTATGTATGTTCCTTAATCATGAGATACAGTTTTTCTTTGTCTCTTATTCTAGTTTTTGCCTTAGAGAGAAGATATTTTATAAGAAACTAGTATTGCCAATCCTGCTCATTTTGATTGTCATTAGCTTGATATATTTTTCCATTATTTGATTTTTAACTGCTTTTTGTCTTTGTATGTAAGGTGTCTGTACTGTAGACAGCATATTGAAGAGTCCTGTTTGGTTTTCCATCCTTTTACTATATGTCTCTTGGCTGGTGCATTTAATCCATTGTTTAGTTTAATTATCAATAGGTATGAATTGATTGCATTCATTTTGCTGTGTGTTTTTTGTGGTAAGTTGTTTTATTTGTTTTACAAGTTTTTCTATTCAGAGTTAATTTTGTTTGTGTGTTTTCTTTTCAATTTCTCCACTGCTGTTGTTTTAATATTTACAACTCTTCACGATTGTCCCTTTTCTTGATTTGATGTGGTCAATTAATTTTCTTTAAGATTACCCTGGTATTTACTACTTTCTTTGCCAATTTAAAAACATCTATTTTATCTTGAAATCTCCTTGACTTCGTCACCATCTGGAATCCTGTAACTATACTTTTTGCCTGTCTTTGCTGTGTAGTTTTTGATACCTTTGATTCCCTAGTTTCACTCTTGTAGGTCTGTTTTTCTTGGAATTCTCCTATATATGGACTAAATTTTGGGTGGTGTTGCCATGTATGTCAAACTCTAGTTGTCTTCTATTGTTGGGTCTCGATCCAAAGGACTCCCTTTAGTATTTTTTGTAAAGTTGGTCTAGTTTGTACAAATTCCTTCAATTTCCATTTATCTGGAAATGTTCTTTGGCAGTTTTTTTCTTTCAGATTTTTTAACATGTCTCCACAGTCTTCTTGCCTGCTTGGTTATTGGTTTTCCTTTGTAGGGAACATTTCGTTTTTTCCCACACTGGTTTCAGGATTCTATCCTTTTCTTTGATTTTGTAGAGTTTGATTATGGTGTGTCTTGGTGATTTTCTTTTGAAGTCTATTCTGTTTAGGGTTCGTTCAGCTTTTTAAATGTTTATTTTCTTGCCTTTCATGATGTTTGGGAAATTTAATTCAAATACCTCTTCAAATATCTCTTCTGTGCTTTTCATTGTCTCTTCCTCTTCTGGAATTCTGATCAACCACAAGTTATCCTTCTTCTTGTTGTACTACATGAATCTTAGGCATTCTTCAGAATTTTTCTTTTAATCATTCTTCCAGCTTATTAATATTGAGATTTATCTTCAAGCTAATTCAGGCTTCCATAGATTCAAATCTCCTTTCCCCTTTCAACTTACTGTCCATTTCTGAAATCTCAGTATTAATTTTCTGTATGTCTGTATGTAGGTTCTATATTAATTCCAATCCTTTATATCAGTTTTGTGTTTTTTTCCTGTAGTACTTTCCTGAATTTTTCCTTGTTTTTCTTGACCTTTCTGTCAGTCATTTGGTGGTACACAAGATAAATTTCTCAAAATCTTTTTCAGGTAGTTTCAATCAATGAGTTTTTTTCCTCAAAATGTTTTCTAGTTCTGCCTCTTCATTGGTTGAGTGAGCTGCCTTGTTTCTTTGTGTCAAAACAAATTGCTGCTTCCGAGACATTCTTATGTTGTTATATTTTATTAAGTTGATGATTATATATTGTTGTATTCTTAGGCACTCACCAACAGCCACCTGGTGTGTGTAATCAGGAGATGAGATTGCGAACCATACTCTATTTGCTGTCCAAGTAGTTCCTTTCAGCATGGATTTAATTGATGCTGGTTGTTGTTGTTGACCTGTTGCATAGCAGCTGGTATTGGCTCTTACCCAATGAGAGGGGTCATAAAGGATATGGTTGTGGCTGGGTTCTACAGATACAGTTGCTGTATTCTGTCAAGTGAAACAAAAAGAGAAAACATACACACAAGACAAAAGGAAGAAAAAACACAAACCAGAAAATATAGAGAAAAAAGAAAAGATTACAGACAAAAAGAGAGAGAGGAAAAAAAAAACAACAGCTAGAAAAAGAAGCACAAGTCAAAGAAAGAAAAGGGGAGGACAATATTTAAAAAGAGAAAAAGAAAAAGTTTTAAAAAAAACCCAAAACACAACTGTTATCATTGTTAAGTGGTATCAAGTCAATTCCAATTCATAGCAACCCTGTATAGGGTTTCCAAGGAGTAGCTAGTGGGTTTGAATCGCCAATCTTGAAGTCCAAAATGACATTGCAGTTCAAATCTTTATCCGACAGTACCAAACAAGGACACCAAACACAATTAGGGAGAGAAATGAATAAAAGGGAAAAAAGACCAGAGAGTTAAAACCAATCAGGGATTACAAAAGAAAAGAAGAAAGAAGTAAAAGTGTTTGAGAAAGAGAAGCTACAAAAAAAGACAAAATGAAACGGGATACTGAAAGTTTAGAAAGCAAGAGAGTAAAAGGTGAGGGGAAAAGAATAAATAAACAAAAACAATGAAAGGAAAACGAACAGGTGCCAGACTCAAGTGAAAATTCAGGAGTCTTCTGCCAGTTGAGGACCTCACATCATGGGTGGGTAAGGGATGTGACAATAACACTGAACCCTAGATGGAGTATCTGTCTGGCTAGGCATTGTCTGTTCCAGAAGTAGTTCATGCAGATCCCAAAGGATCTGGGGTAACAGGGTATTTCTGTCCTAGAGGGGAGCCAAGGGTGAGAGGTCCCTCTAGTCCAGGGTGATCAGAACTGGCTCTGCAGGTCTGGAATAGGTCACATCTGATTCCAGGTGCCAGGGTTTGTGCTGCTAGCTTCCCACATACTTTGATGTGCTTTCGACAGCCTGGAACAGGAAGGAACATCCCTGGCAGTGTATGTGGATGGGGGCCAGCCACACCTCTGCTCACTAGGGCACTGTGGTACCAAAAAAAAAAAAAAATTGCTGCCCCTTTCACTCTACAAATAAGTAATATGCCTCTGCACTACCTACTGTCCTTTTGCCTTCAAAGACGCTTGTGAAATTTCAAGATGGACACAATATATAGCTGGCGGACTGGCACAGATTTCCATTGTCTTTTCTTTTTTTTTCCTTCCCCATGCATCTGTTCACTTGCAGATCTGGAGCAAGAAGGCCTTCCCGAATGGGATCAATTCAGACAGCTCTCTTCTCCTTTAAGGGGCTTACAACCATGTTCACCTCCATGCAGCTCCGGCTACCTAGAGAGTGAGAGCTTCCCCAAGGATGTACACGGGTGTGGGCTGGCCTTGCCTCTGGCCAACAAGGTAGAGTGACAAACAAGAAAAAATAATATATATTACACCTTAATGCTTCTGCAACGTCAGTATATTTGCTTGTCTCTGAAACTGCTCACAAAAGCTCAAGATGGCTGCACCCATCTGGTCAGCAGGCACAGGTCACCAGTCTCTCCTTATTTTTACCATGTCTGATGTCTCTCCTAGTAAGCACTGAATCCACTTATCTATCCCTTCATCAGAAGCTCAGAGTTCCAGAACTATCACCTGCAGCTGTTTCATTTGATTTTACGTATCTATGTTGTAGAGGGTCTGTACAACCTACCTGCTTAATTCACTATCTTGCCACCTCCTCCATGAACTTTTTGAAGCCAGCTTGTATTTAAATTTTCTTCAGGAAAAGATATAAAACATACCTGATTCACACAACTCTTCTTCCACTGATAGCCCAACTTCTCACAAGTCTCTTTTAGGCAATGATAAGATTTGTCTGCATCCAATTTGGTAAAGAATCGTGTCATTCTTTTGACCAAGCGCTGCCATGGATTCTACAAGGCAAACAGAAGAAAGCTGAATAAATTCACACTGGCCAAAAGAAGCCATATGATAGGTGTTGTTGTTGTTGTCAGGTGCCATCGAGTCAGAACCGACTCATAGTGACCCCATGCACACCTGAACGAAACGATGTCCGATCCTGGGCCAATCTCACCACTGCTTCTACACTAGATACCATCAATGATGCCACCTGGCTGATCCATCTCATTGGGGGTCTTCCTCTCTTTCGCTGATCCTCCATCTTACCCAGCATGACACCCTTCTCTAGCGACTGTTTCCTCCTGACAATATGTCCAAAATATGAGAGACGAAGTTTAGCCATCTTGGCCTCCAAGGAGCACTCTTGCTGCACCTCTTCCAAAACAGATCTATTGGTTCTTTTGGCAGTCTATGGCACTTTTAGTATTCTCCTCCAACACCACAATTCAAATATGATAGGTACTTAGTCTCAAAATTCTTTTCTGTGATTTATTAAGATTCATATATATGAAAGCCCACTCTAATTCTCTCTCTCTTATTTGAAAATTCTTTAACACTAAATTCTAACATTTAAAAAAATTCTTAGAAGACATTAAAACAATATAAAATAAAGGGTGCCCATTATTTAAGGAGCTCTGGTACCGTAGTGGTTATGAATCGGGCTAACCTCAGGGTTAGCAGTTAAAAACTACCAGCTGTTCCACAGAAGATAGATGAGGCTTTCGGCTCCCATAAAGATTTACAGCCTCTGAAACCCTATTCAGGGTCGCTATGAGTCAGAACCAACTCCATAGCACATGACAACATTATTTATTTAAAAACTAAATTCCTTTACCTGTGAGGATCCTGGAGTGCCAAGCAACTGACTATTAAGAAGCATATGATCAGGACATGTAGGTTGAGAAAAACTGATCCCTTGTACCAGTTTATCTATATATGAGGAGCTGGTGTCCCATAAGGAAAGTCCTGTTCGTGGTTCTGGCTGGGAACTAGAGTACTTCACATTTTCTTCACTAGGCAGTAAGAAAAGGGGGGAATATGTTTTAAGTAAAATACATTAGACATTTATTATATCACACTTCCATCCTCACCCTGATAAAAATTATACTTGTTATTAGAAAGAAAATGAATGTATTGCTTTTCTTAAGAAATAATACATTCAGCAACCATTTTATCCTTATTGGTCTTACCTAGAAGCACAGCTTACTGGAGGGAAGTCCAAATTGGATTGAATGTGCTTAGAGAATCCACCTGGAGACTCTGATACACCTCCTGAAGTGACCTGAGGCCTCCTTGATCCTAAGAAAAGATAAATACAAATGCTTTCAAGTGTTCTATGCAGATATCTTTTAAAATCACCCAAACAGCAACTTGAAAAGGCAACAACATATCTAAATACATTTATTTAACACAAAGTATGACACATGAAAATACATTCCAAATGTGGCACATCATGATAAAGCCATAATTTAAATAGTATGGTCTATGGTAACAGAACAATGTTCTATAAAAAGAGAGACCAAACTAAAGGACCAGAAGTTTTCTAAATAAAGGTAATTTATGATGAAGGCATCAATTATGAATTTATTACAACGCCCTTTGCTCCAGTGGAAAATCTGCAATATTTAGAGGCATGGTTATACTCCAAAGTCTAGGTGATTATATAAAAATCAGATCACAGAGTAGAGGGTGACTATATCATTATATAACTGCCAAATTTTATGGAACTGCCAAACTACTAAACATCAAGGAACAGCCAAGCTGACACATAACCTTAACCATTACAATAAATGTTACTCTTGCCTTGCACCCTGGCGTACATTATTGCCAAATGTGTATCATGAATGTGAAAAATACTCAGATAGTAGATTATTTTACCAATGTCATGTGAAATGTCAAATAATGTAGTCGATAACTAAGGAGTAGGTGTACATATGTTTTCAGCTGGAACCGACTCCATGGTATATAACCACCACAACCCTCATCTGGACACTCAACACTGAGAGTAAATTCTTTGTTTCTCTAGTCAGTTTCCTCTCCCTTTCTTCATAACTACTTAAGATTTTCTACATTCTTTTCAAATTTCAAATACCATCTACCAGTACATTACTCTTAATATATGACACTCAAAAACCAAACCCATTCTATCAAGTCAAATCTGACTCATAGTGACCCTAAAAGCCTGTAAATTTTCATGGGAACAGAAAGCCTTGTCTTTCTCCTGTCGAGCAGCTGGTAGATTTGAACTGCTGACCATGAGGTTAGCAGTCCAGTGCTTATCCTATAATGTCACCAGGGCTCCCTTAACAAATGCCCCACATCACAGAGAAAATAAAGTCATTAGATAGAAACTCCCTCAATTTGCCACTGGCAAGTCTGCTAACAAACCTGCTTCCCTCACTACCATTTTTTCCTCTTCATATACTTAGAATAAAAGCCTATATATATCACTCTTAAATCAAAAACAATAAAAATTCATTCCAAGAAAGATCTTTTAAAACTAAATATATGATCATGTCATTTCTCCCTTGAAATCTCTCAAAGGCCCAAATGGTCTTAAATTAAAACCCAAAGTCCTTAAAGTGGCTTACAAGGTCCTCCTTCACAACTGGGCCAACATTTACCTCTCTAGCCTCACCTTAAAATTGTATTAAATTCTTCTCCATTCATTAACTCAATTAAGTGTCTAAGATATATCACACATTGTTCTTCCACTGGTAATGTTGTTGTTGTTGTTATGTGCCGTGGAGTCGGTTCCGACTCATAGCGACGCTGCACAGGGTTTCCGAGGCTGTAAATCCTTACGGGAGCAGAACGCCTCATCTTTCTCCCGCGGAACCGCTGGTAGTTTCGAACTGCTGACCTTACGGTTCGCAGCCCAATTCGTAACCACTACGCTACCAGAGCTCCTTTACAATGGTGAAAAATAGACATGATCCATGCCTTACTGTCTCTTTCAATTTCTCAAGAGCACCAAGCTCTCTAGACTCCAAGACTATGCAAATGCTGCTCAGCATCACACCTACCATTCACTTTGCCTGACTAGTTTCCCTTTGATATTCAACTCTTTTATATTTAATGGCAGTTCCTCAGGGAAGCAAACCTTACTTGTCCCTTAAGATTTGTTGAAACACATAGTGACAGTACCCTGACTATCCCCCTTATTTATTAATGAAATTATTTATCATACTTCTCTTTTTCCTATTAGATACTAAGATATTCATAAGGAGAGAGATCATATCTATCTTGTGTGGCTCATTTTTGCTGTTGACTTCGTAAGTACCTTTTCTTTCCTAGAGAAAAATACATGGTATTTTAAGTTTACCTTTCTTGAGTGGTTTGTTGTACCATCTGTCTTTTTTAATGTCTGGGATGGAAATTCTTACTGATGGGTTCTCGACTAAGATTTTATGCAGCAGAGCTAAAAAAAAATTTTTTTTAATTAATTAAAACATTTATAAATGAGTCATGCAGATCAGATGGGCTCATCATCAGTAAAGACCAATCCTTAGAAAGAACATCATGTTTGGTTCAGCAGAAGGTCAAAAGTATGAGGGAAACTTATTGAGATAGATTGACACAATAACCACAATAATGGTCTCAAACATCAGGAAGATGGAGCAGGACTAGGCAATGTTTCTGCTATACATAAGGCTGACATGAGTCAGAATCAATTCAGTGGGAATTAATAATAGCAACAATGTGTTTGTGGTAGGGGACACATTCTTCACTGGCCTCATTATGTAACCAAGAAAAAAGGGTTCTCCACACCAGAATATTAACAGAAAGTTACAAAAAGTCTATTTTACATTTTAATACCAAATTTCATTGCTTCATTGTCATACTAAGTTGCCAAACTGTTTTATAACTTTTTTTAATTGTCAGTTGTACTGTGGTAAATGAAATTGTTCATAATAACAATTTCTAACAATCAGGTCAACTCAAAGGCAACTAACAATTGTTATTTCTGTTGTTAGGTGCTATCAAGTCAGTTCCCACTCAATGACCTATGCATAACAGAACAAAATGCTGTCCAATCCTGCCCCATCTTCACAACTGTTGTTATGTTTGAGTCCAATGTTCCTGCCACTGGGTCAATCATCTTGCTGGGTTTTCCTCTTCTTTTGCTGACATTCCACTTTCCCAAGCACAATGCCTTTCACCAGGAACTGGCCCCTCCTGGCAAAAGGACCAAAGTATGAGAGACAAAGTCTCACCATCCTTACTTCTAAAGAGCATTCTGGATGTACTTCTTCCAAGACAGATTTGTTTGTTCTTCTGGCAGCCCACGGTACTGTCAATATTTTCCAACATGATATTCAAGTGCATCAGTTCTTCCATAGACTGTCTTATTCACTGTCCAACTTTCACATGCATATTGTTGTTTTGTTGCTGTTAAGTGCCTCCAAGTCGGTTCCCACTCATAGTGACCCTGCATAGGATTTCCACGGAGCAATGAGTGAGTTGGAACTACCGACCTTATGGTTCAAACTGACCGTGCGGCCCAGTGCTTTATTCCACAGTGCACATGTACATTATTAAAAATGCCATAGCTTGGGGTCAGGTGCACTTTAGTACTCAAACTGACATCTTTACTCTTTAACACCTTAGATTGGCAGCAAATTTGCCTAATGCAATATGTCATTTGATTTCTTGACAGTTGCTTTCATAAGTGATTATGGATCCAACTTCAATCTCTTCCACATTTATCCTGATGTTATTTATTGGTCCAGTTGTGAGGATTTGGGATTCTTTTTTTTTTACATTGAAGTGCAAACTCATATTGAAGGTTGTAATTTTTTATATTCATCAATATTTCAAGTCTTCTTCCAGCAAGGTTATCTGGATATTGAAGGCTATTAATGAGTCTTCCTTCAATCTTAATGTCCTGTTCTTCATATAATCCAGCTTCTCATATTATTTGCTCAACACACAGATTGTGAAAGGATGTAACCTTGGCATACACCTTTAAAGAGGTCTTGTACAGCAGATTTGCCTAATGCAACACATACATTTGATTTCTTGACTGCTGCTCCCATGAGTGTTAATGGTAGATCCCAGCAAAATAAAGTTTTAAACAATTTTAATATTTTCTTCATTTATTATGATGTTATACATTGCTCCTGTGGTGAGCATTTTTGTTTTCTTTACATTGAGTTGCAACTCATACCGAAAACTGTGGTCTTTGATCTTCATCAGTAAGTATTTTAAGTCCTCTTCACTTTCAACTAGCAAGGTTGCATCATCTGCATATCTCAGGTTGCTAAAGAGTCTTCCTCCAGTAGTTACATAACGTTCTTTTTCATATAATCCAGCTTCTCTGATTATTTGCTCAGCATACAGATTGAATAAGTATGCTAAAAGAACACAACCCTGGCACACACATTTCCTGATTTTAAACCATTCAGTCTCCCCTTGGTCTGTTCAAACAACTGCCTCTTGATCTAGGTACAGGTTCCACATAAGCAAAAGTATGTGTTCCAAAATGCTCATTCTCCGAAATGTTGTCCATAGCGTGTCATGATCCACAGTCGAAAACCATTGTCTAGTCAATAAAGCACAGATAAATGTCTTTCTGGTATTCTCTAATTTCAGCCAGAAATCATCTGGAGTCAACGATGATATCCTTTGTTTCACATCCTCATCTGAATCCGGCTTGAATGTCTGGCAGCTCCCAGTCAATGTACTGTTATAGCCATTTTTGAATTATCTTTAGCCAAATTTTATTTGAAGGTGGTATTAATGATATTGTCTGATAATTTCCATAGGGCCATCTCTCTTTGGAAAGGGCACAAATATGGACCTATTCCAAGTAGTAGGCCAGATAGCTGTCTTCCAGAATTCTTGGCATATATGAGAGTGATTCCAGAGTTGAACCAATTTTTTGAAATATTTCAATTTGCATTCCAACAATTCCTGGAGCCTTTGGCAATGCCTTCAATGCACATTGGACTTTGGCAATGCCTTCAATACACCTTGGACTTCTTCCTTCATGCCATTGGCTCTTGATCATATACTAAACATTGACCATTTCTTTGTGGTAAAGTGACTCTGTATATTCCTTCCATCTTTTTTTGATGCTTTCTGCAACATTCAATATTTTGACCATAGAATCCTTCAATATTATAAATTGAGGCTTTAAATTTTTCTAGTTCTTTCAGCTTGAGAAATGCTGAGCACATTTTTCCCTTTTGGTTTTCTAACTTCAAGTCTTTGAACATTCCATTATAATATTTGACTTTGTCTTCTTGAAATGCCCTCTGAAAATTTTTTTTCAGCTCTTTTATCTCCTTATTTCTTTCATTTCCTTTAGCATCTCTACACTGCAGAGCAGGTTTCACAGTCTCTTCTGACATCCATTTCAGTCTTGTCTTCTTTCTTGTCTTCAAAATGATCTTTTGCTTTTTTCCGGTATAATGTTCTTTATGTTATCCGAAATCTCTTCTGATTTTCAGTCTTTAGTGTCTAATGCATCAAATTTGTTCTAGAGTTGGTGTTTAAATTCAGGTGAGATATGTTCAAGGTCATATTTTGGCTCTCATGGACTTGTTTTCATTTTCTTCAGCTTCAGCCTGAACCTGCATAGGAGTTATCCTCAGTGTGCCCTGGCCTTGTTTTGCCTGATGATCAGAGCTCTTCCACATCTCTTCCCACAGATGTAGTCAATTTGATTTTTATGTATTCCATCTACTGAGGTCCATATGTATAGTTGTCTTTTATGTTGTTTAAAAAAGATACTTCCAATGAAAACGTCACTGACCTTGCAAAATTCAATCATGTGATTTCCAGCATCATTTCTATCAACAAGGCCTTATTTTCCAACTACTTGTACTTTCTCCAACTTTTGCATTCCAATCACCAGTAATTATCAATACATCTTGATTGCAAGTTTGATCAATAGCAGACTGAAGAAGCTGGTCAAATTTTTCAGTTTCATCATCACTGGGTTTAGTGGTTGGTATATATATTTGAATAATATTGACATTAACTGTTAAGCCTTGTTGTCATTGTTGTTGAATGCCATCGAGTCGTTTCTGACCCATAGTGATCCAGTACAGGATTTCCACAGAGCAGCTGGTGGGCTTGAACCACTGACCTTGTGGCTCATATGACTTTTAACTCCAGCGCACTAACCCACAGGACTCCCATTAAACATTGTAGGCATATAGATATTATTCTGTCACAGATAGCATTATACGCTAAGACAAATCTTGAAATGTTCTTTTTGACAATGAATGTGACACCATTTCTCTTCAATGTACCATTCCTGACACAGTAAGCCATGTGACTGTCTAGTTCAAAATAGCCACTGTCAATCCATTTCAGCTCACTGATGCCTAGAATATCTATGTTTATTAATTCCACCTCATTTGTGATAACTTTCAATATTCCTTGACTCTAGATGTGGCACTCTAAGATCAGCAGTGAACTGTGCACCAAAAGGTCAGATATTCAAATGCACCAGCTGCTCCTTGGAAACACTTTACAGGGTTGCTATGAGTCTGAACCAACTTGACTACACTTAAAAACAATTTTCCTAGGTTCATACTTCTTATATTCCATGTTCTGATTATTAATAGATGTTTGCAGCTATTTCACATCATTTTGAATTGTGCTCCATCATCAAGTGAAGGTCCCAAAGCTTTACCCTACTTTGAGGTGACAGCTCTTCCCTAGTCGATTTTTGAGTCTTCCAACCTGAGGGGCTCATCTTTCAGCAATATCTGACAATATTCTGGTGCTATTTATGTTTCAATAGTTAATGTGTGGTACTATCTGACAGTGTTCCATTGCTATTCATAAGGTTTTCGATGGCTAAACATTCAGACGTAGTCAGTCTTTTCTTACTCTAAGTCTGTCTTAGTCTAGAAGCTCAACTGAAACCTGTCCACCATGGGCAACCCTGCTGGCTTTTAAATTATCAGTGGCATAGCTTCCAGCATCACAGCAATACGCAAGGCACCATAGTACATCAAACTAATAGAGGAGTGGTGGGCATGTGCACTACAATCTCATTTTTGTAAAAGCACACAGTTATAAATAACATGTGCATATAAGCATATGTATATATATTGGAGAACATAGTCTGTAAGCACATATCAAAATATGAAATCATAGGGGTTTTTTCATTATTTTTAAATTATATTTCCTAACTTATCTATAAGGAACATAGATAATTTCCTTGTTTTAGAAGTTAAAAAGAAAAAATATTAGAAAAACTTTCAAAACATACTATTTGCCATTATCTAAGAAATCAGTATTTTCAGTCAAGGTAAACCAGTTACCTAGAGGAGCAGAATCAATTTTTTTCCAGGGGTTGAGGTATGTTTTTTTTTCTTTCCAATCAAAATATTCTTGACAACTGTCACTGGGCTGGTCCCATGGCAATTCTATAAAAGAAAAAAAAATCTACAACTTAGAATTATCATTGCATCATATAGTAAAAATTTTGAGGAATATTTCCTGCAAACAATATGGTTTTCAATATGAATGCCAACTTACAGAAAGTACAGAGGTACTTCAAAGATGAATGAAACATCTCTGTCTTAATTTTTCCAAAAGCAGTAACATGAACCTGACACAGATTTTTTTTCATGTCATAGTTATACAAACCTCAATTAAAAAAAAAATGTTTTGGGTTAAAAGTTATATGAGTTCTACACAACAGTATGTGCAATGCAGTGAATTAGTTCATATGACTCTATCACCCAGTCTTTGTAACTCCCACAAAAAAAAGTTGAGAAAATGTCAATAGGATTATATGATTCAGTTGTGAGTGGTTAATAGAGTTATTTGTGACTGTAAAAACTTTGAACTCTAATGTGTATAAAATGAGCCATCTCAGAAGCAGGAATGGGGGATATCAATACCATAAAAGAGCCAGGATTGGAGCTCATTCTTTGGACCCCAAGATCCCTGCACATTGAAGCTCCTCAACTCAGGGAAAGAAAGCTGACACTAGAGGAGTGGGAGAGGAACAGTAGCAACAGAATCATGAGCCAAAACAAGAGACAGAGTAGTGGGGCTCCCAGCCCACAGAGCAAGTAAATCTGAGTGACATGGGCTGAAGGTTTAATTGAGGAAGCTTAGTTTGCTGACCTGAAAAGCTAAAGAGGAGTGCCTTACAATAGAAACTTATGGTGAAGTGGTGTGCCCTGTGGGCACTTATTATTGGTATTAATAAGTGCCAATGAGTTGGTTCCGACTCATAGTGCTCCTATATAGGGTTTCCAAGGAGTGGCTGGTGAGTTTGAACCACTGACGTTATGGTTCAAACTAACCTTGCGGTCCAGTGCGCTATCCCACAGCGCCACACTAGGACTCCATTTATTAGCAGCCCTAAAAGAGCTTTGTAACATTGCTAGATCAGGGCAGAGGCCAGGCAAAGGGACAAAGGGCCACCAAGGGGCCTGACTGTGGGCATGGATGGGGAGAGGCTGTCCTGACTGGAAGAACTGTTTCCTGAATATTTCTGACCCTGAATTGAAACATGTTTAGGTCCGTAATAAACCCCTAACTATGAGTATGGTGTCTAAGTCCTCTGTGGCCACTGCAAAGAATTATCAAATCCATAAGAACTGACTTCCAGTTTTGAAGTGGGACAAGCAGAGTCAGGTAGGACGAGTTCCGTTGGTGAGGTGCCAAAAATCCAGAGAAGGTGCTTTTACAGAGCTGCTCTAGAGCTCTGGATCCAGAGTAAGTTGCAGGGCATCAACTTCCCCGCAACCACCAGTGAAAAAATCACTGTATAAAGAAAAATACTGCAATTCAGGAATGAATCAGGGCTCAAGACTCTGCCTGTGGAGCACTCCCGGGCTGTATTCAAAGGGTGGGGCCACAGCCAGACTGACACAGTGACATTTGAAAAACGAGGAGTAGATGATTCTACACATTTTCCTCCTCTTCTCTGCTGTGCCTTCGATGCCCAGACCAGCCACCTTCAGGTAGGTGGGCATGCACCCCCAAAAGGGTCCAGCATTGAGCTTACAGTTTTCTCACAGTACAGAGAAGAGGATCCCCATTAGTCACATGGACTGACCCTTTGGCAGCTGATTATGACATCTAATTCTGGGACCCAGCCCTAAAGTTGACCTAGGCAGGACCCTTTACTCTTGCCATGGGTCAGACAGCTACAGTTTTATTTTAGGTTTGGAGTAGTGGTTTTTGTCTCTGCTTTTATATCGTTTCTGTTTGTGATCCTTTTGATCACACTTGTTTCCTGGGTTTAGGAACTTTTTCTCCCTACGTTACCCAAAAAGAGTCAGCAATCACGGTCATATAGCCAAGCTACAATCATACCCCATAATATCTCACCATTGAGACAGGAACAAATACCAGCTGCTAGAAATTACACGTGAAAACGGAAGCCAATCTCCAGATCATATCCAACAAGAGACACTCACCAAGCTTAAAAATACAGCAACAGCCCTAGGACCATCAAGAAAGAAGAGCAGAGAACGGGACCCTATCCAGAGAAGCAGTGATGCCTGAAATGGAGCCAGAGATGACGACGAGGAGTGATGGAGCAGCTGGAGACTTTAGATCCAGAGAGGGAGAGCAACTGTGTGCTGAAGAACTGGGGGTTATGGGGGAAGGATTGCAGGGTATACCCTTTGGTTGGTTGATGATGCATGGAGGGGATTGTGATGCATGGCAATAAGATATACGATAGAATGAATGTAAAACTAATGTTCTCCCATGTAAACTATCACATAATTTACAATAAAACATTTAAAGAAAAAAAATACAGCAACATACATCCATTTAAGCATTGAAAATCCACCTAACTACTGAAAATGTCCAGGAAAGCACAACAAAAATTATCAAAACATGTCCAAAAACAGAAAAGAGTACCTGAGACAAAAGAGTAGAAGCAGACACAGCATTTCCAGTAGAAGAAGAGCACATTTTGGCTCTGCCTGAGAAGGAGTACAGAAGAATGATAGGGAAACAAATTCAAATGCTCTAAAAGGGGGTGGAGAAAAATACGGAAGAAGTAAGGAAAGTGCTACAGAAGCAATCAAACAAGATAGATACAGCACTGGAAACAATTCAAAAGCTGCAAAAAGAGGTCCAGATAATTAATAAAAAGTCAGAAATGTATAATACACTGAAAGGGCAAGAGAGTAGAACAGATGAGATGGAAGCCAGAACCAGTGATCTGGAAGACAAATCTCTCAATGCTGCTAAGATAGAAGCGTAAGCAGTAAAAAGGATAAAAAAAATCTGAAGAGACTCAGATTTATGCTGGATAACATGAAGAGGAGGGAGCTCTGGTAGCGTAGTGGTTACGAATCGGGCTGTGAACCATAAGGTCAGCGGTTCGAAACTACCAGCCGCTCCACGGGAGAAAGATAAGGCTTTCTACTCCCGTAAAGATTTACACCCTCGGAAACCCTGTTACAGGGTCGCTATGGGTCGGAACCGACTCGATGGCACTTAACAACAACAACAACATGAAGAGGAAGAACTTAAGAAAGATTGTCATCCCAGAACAGGAAGAATCACAGAAGTCCACAGAGGAGATAATTGTGGAACTACTGGAAGAAATTTTCCCTAACATCTATAAGGATGAGAAGATAAAGATTCCAGAAGCTGAACGAACTCCAGGAAGGCTATACCCGCAAAAGAAAATCACCAACACATATAATAATCAAGCTCTCCAAAATCAAAGACAAGGAGAGAATACTAAAAGCAGCCAGGGCAAAGAGAAGTGTTAGCTACAAAGGCAAGCAAACCAGACTACGCTTTAACTTCTCAGCAGAAACCATGCAGACAAGAAGGCAATGGAGAGACATATATAAAATCCTAAAAGAAAAAACTACCAACCAAGACTCGTCTATACAGCAAAACTGTCAATCAAATACGATGGTGCAATCAAAATATTTCAGGATAAACAGAAGCTAAGAGATTTTGTCAAAGTCAATCCAGCACTTCAAAACATCCTAAAAGGAGTTCTTTGGACTGAAAACCAACAAGAACAGACAACAACCAGAGATTGACAGATGTGGTAACACCACCTGGAACTCAGTCGACAGATAGCAGAGTTCAGAACAGAACAAAATGACAGAAATGAATTGAGAGGACCTGTGAAGCCAGCCAAAGATCAATATATTAACAGTGTCAAAGAAGGAAAAAACATAGCAACACAGATCCAGGTGATGAGGAGGTCAGGTACATTATAGGACACAACAGACTGTCTTAAATGGGGGTAAAAATTAATAGACTATAGGGAAACCCCAAAGAAAGTTAATACTTCACAACTTACCATAAAAATGAAGATCCAATCAGAAGAAACATGAAAATTAAGAAGAAACTTACAAGAAATAGCACAAAAAACATGAACTCAGCAGAAGATGGCATGCAGAACAAAGGAACAAACAGCACCACTAAAAATTAACATAATGACAGCAATTAATTTTTACCTATCAACAATTACAGAGTATCAATGGATTAAATGCACCATTGAAGAGACAGAGTGGCAGAATGGATAACAAAACAAGACCCTTCAAAATATGCTGCTTGCAAGAGACACACCTTACACACAAAGACAAAAAAGGACTAAAAGTTAAAGGATGGAAAAATATATACCAAGCTAATTGCAATAATAAACAAGCAAGAATGGCATCACTAATCTTTGATAAAATGTACTTTAAGACAAAAACCAGCATAAGAGATAAAGAAGGATGCTATCTCATGCGTCAATTGAGCAAGACGACATAACCATAATAAATATCTATGCTCCCAAAGAAAGAGCACCAAGATATATGAAGCAAACCCTACTAGAATTGACGAAAGAAATAGATAAATGTACAATTATAGTGGGAGATTTTAATATGCCACTTTCAAAAAGGGAGAGAACAACCATAAAGAACCTCAACAAAACCACAGAGAAAATAAACAGCACAATCAACCAACTTGACCTCATAGATGTGTAGAGAGCATTCAACCCAACAACAGCACAATATATATTCTTTTCCTGTGCACGTGGAACATTCTCCACAACTGGCCATGTGTAAGGTCACAAAGCAATCCTTCATAAATTTAAAAACATCAAAATATTACAAGGCATCTTTTCATAACACAATACTATAAAACTAGAAATCAACAATAAGACAACCACGGAAATAAAGTTGAATAAATAGAAACTGAATAACACCTTGCTGAAAGCACCTGGGTGGTAGAAGAAATCAAACATGAATTCATAAAGTTCCTAGAAACAAATGAGAATGAAAAACAACACATCAAAGTTTTGGGACATGGCGAAAGTAGTGCTGAGAGGTCAGTTCATTGCTACAAATGCGCACATCCAAAAAGAAGAAAGAACCAAAATTAACACATTGACATTGCATCTCCAGCAATTAGAAACAAATCAACAGAGGGAACCTACAGTCACCAAAAGAAAAAAAGAAATAATAAAGATGAGTACAGAAATAAAAGAGATAGAAAACAGAAAACCTATAGAAAGAATCCACAGGACAAGCAGCTGGTTTTTTGAAAGAATTAATAAAATTGACAAACCTAAAAAAAAAAAAAAGGAGGGAGCAGACACAAATAACTCACATTAGAAACCACATGGGCGATGTCACAATGGAAATCAAAAGCATAATAACAGAATACTATGAAGAGTTGTACTCCAAAAAATTTTAAAACTTAGAAGAGATGGATACATTTTTAGAAAAACACAACTTACCTAAACTTACACAGAGTGAACTAGAAAACTAGAACAGACCCATAACAAAAGAACAAATTGATCATGTCATCAAAAATCTCCCAACCAAAAGAAGTCCAGGCCCAGATGGATTCGTGGGTGAGTTCTACCAAACATTCAGGAAAAAGCTGTCACCAATTCTACTCAAATTATTCCAGAATATAGAAGAGAATAGAAAACTTCCTAATACATTTTATGAAGCAAGCATAACCCTCCTACCAAAACCAGGGAAGGACATCACTAAGAAAGAAAATTATAGACCAATATCCCTCATGAACATAAATGCAAAAATTCTCAACAAAATCCTAGCCAACAGAATCCAGCAGCACATCAAAAAACAATACATCATGACCAAGTGGGTTTTATAACATGGATGCAAGGATGGTTCAAAATTAGAAAAACAATCAATGTAATAAATAAGAAAAAGTAAAGGAACCACATGATCATATCCATTGATGCAGAAAAGGCATTGTTGGACAAAATCCACATCCATTCCTGATAAAAATACTCAAAAAAGTAGGAATCAAAGGGAACATCCTCAACATAATTAAAAGCATATATACAAAATCAACAGCCTACATTACTATCAATGGAGAGAAACTGAAAGCCTTCCCTCTGCGAACAGAAACCAGACAAGGATGCCCTTTGTTGCCACTCCTATTCAATATTGTTTTGGAAGTGTTACCCAGAGCGATATGGCAAAATAGGGAAATGAAAGGCATCCAAATTGGCAAAAAGGAACTAAAACTCTATTTGCAGACGATATAATCCTATACATAGAAAACTCCAAAGACTCAGTCAAAAAGCTGCCATATGTCATTGGAAGATTCAGCAAAGTGGCAGGATATAAGATCAACATACAAAAATCAGTTGGATTCCTCTATACCAAAAAATGACAGCATTGAAAAAGACATTAGGAAAGCAATACTATTTAAATAGCCGACCAAAGGATGAAATATCTAGGAATACATGCAATCAGAGAAACAAAGGACCTATACAAAGAAAACTACAAAACATTATTACAAGAAACCAAAGGAGACTTACAAAAGTGGAAGAATATACCATGTTCCTGGATAGGAAGACTTAACATTGTGAAAATGTCAATACTGCCCAAAGGAATTTACACATATAATGTGATCCCAATCCAGATTTCAACGACATTCTTCAAAGAGAAGGAAAAAGCAATTACAAACTTTACATGGAAAGGAAAGACACCCAGGATAAGCAAAGCACTGCTTAAGAAAAAGAACAAGAATGGAAACCTCTCACATCCAGATTTAAAAATTTACTACACAGTTACAGTGGTCAAAACAGATTGGTACTGGTACAATGAAAGATACATTGATCAATGACACAGAATTGCGAATCCAGAAATTAACTCATCTACATACAGCCAACTGATTTTCAAAAAAGTGCCTAGGTATATTGCATGGGGAGGAGATAGTCTCTTTAAAAAATGGTGCACGCAAAACTGGAGAGAGATATGCAAAAGACTGAAACAAGACTTTTAACTCACGCCGTATACAAAAACCAAGTAATTCAACATGGATTAAAGACCTAAATGTGAATCCCAAAATTATGAAGGTCATCAATGAAAAATTAGGGACAAATGTGAGGGCTCTAATTCAGGGAATACACAGACTACCAAACATTTTAAAACCTACACAAACAGAAGTAGACAAAATAGATGATTGGGACATACTAAAAATTAAAAACTTCTGTGCATCAAAAGACTTCACCAAAAGAGTAAAAAGGGAGCCCACAGAATGGGAAAAAATCTTTTGCAACAACACATCAAACAAGGGACTCATTTGAAAAATATATAGGAAACTGTCCTTTCTTCGCCATCATATGACCGCTGCTACGTTCCATCTTCACAATATCTTCTCATAAGACTTTCAGGATCAAGAGATTCCTGGCCAAGAAACAAAAGCAGAATCGTCCCATTCCCAATGGATCTGAATGAAAACGGGGGAAAAAATCAAATACAACTCCAAAAGAAGATACTGGAGAAGAATAAAGCTGGGTCTCTAAGGAGTGACACATGTTCTCTAAGGAGTGGCACATGTGGATGGCGCAGCACATAACAGACCCAGGTCCTAGCACCCTACCACAGCAAGTTCAATTTTGCCAAGATTTGATCAGTTGAACATGTTTTGCAAAACTTCTGGTTTCTTCCTTTATTTTTATGCTTCCGCATTTAAAGAGGTTGGCTATATATATAGGAAACTACAACACCTCTACAAGAAAAAGACAAATAACCCAATTAAAAAAGGGCACAGGACACGAACAGCCACTTCACCAAGGAGATCCAGGCAGCCAACAAACATATGAAGAAATGTTCACGATCACTAGCTATTAAAGAGATACATATCAAAACAATAATGAGATATCATCTCACACCAGCAATTAACAGCAAAGATTAAAAAAGAAGAGGACAAAAATGCTGGCGGGAATGTGGAGAGACTCAGACCCTCCTACATTGTTGGTGCCCATCAATTGAAGAATGGATAAACAAACTGTGGTACATGCACACAATGGAATACTATGCTACCTTGAAGAACAACAAGGAAGCTGCAAGCCACTGTATAACATGGATGAACCTTGAGGACATTATGCTGAGTGAACTTAGTCAGTCACAAAAGGAGAAATACTGCATAAGACCACTACTGTAAAAGACTAAGAAAAAGAACCCACCCTAACAGTGGAAAAAAAAAAAATTATATATATATATTTGCTGATCACTGAGATGTATGTGATGAGGTGAGGGGAGTGAGGGATGGGAAGATAAGAGTACAGGGTAGGGAATAGACATTGGGTAGCTTGAGTGCTGGGAGGGGGTGTCAAGGAAGGGGCTACACATGAAGAGGGAGGGGAACGGAAGAACATGGCAGATGAAAGAACAGTTAGGCAGTTTTGCATGAGCTAAGTAGATCAGAAGTAAATGATGTATTCACAACCTTGGAACAACAGGGGTCCAAGATACAGGGATTGAGGCATGGTTTGAATGGGTAAAAGAGGGAAATAATGTTAAGATGCTTGGCTGTCTTTTGAATCTTGGTTTCCCTTGCCAACTACTGTAAAATAGACACTTGAGGGGGAGAGAAAGGAACAGCAAGAAACATCACAATAGAAAGCGTGTTTGCCTATCAGCTATACCTGATTGGAATACCTTAAAGGGGGCTAGAAGTTGCCCAATGAAAGAGGCTTCCTGTGGAATCTTTGCATTGCATAAGACCATAGGTGGAATCCAGAACCCCATCCAGAATTGTTTGAGGTGAAAAATTTCCACTTGAAAGGACAAGTATACCAGCCTGGAGCAACTAGAAGAACAGAAGACACTTTGTGAAAGAAAGACCAGCACGAAAAATCAAAAACAATAACGGCAGTCTGAAAGCCTACTACAAGAACAAGCAAGCTGTTCGCCCGGCAGCTATCAAGGCAAGTGGTCAGGTCCCCTCAGGACAAACCCCCTTCTAAGACTAAGACTCAAGTGGAATACACGAGCAGGCATGTGGTCTCATTTATGACCATGCTGGTCACCAATAAGGGGAAGAGGGGTAAAACAGCAATGTAGTTGGGAGCTAAGTCCAACCACATTCAATAGACTCCTCTGAACCCAAGTGGAGACCTGGTTGGCCAGCAGTATGGCAAGACTCAGGGACTCCTGGGCCCAGAGGCAGTGACATGGCCATAGAGGACTAAAGCAGAGAGTGAAGCATCCAGCTGATATGAAGTGAGGGGAGATGCACAAGAACACCTATTCTTGCAGATAGTACCCACTTGACTGGGATTCAATGGCTCGATGATCAGAACTCGACTAGTAAAAAAAGAGGAAAAAAAAGAGTAACCCTCTACAATTTGATGAATTTTACCTATACTTATGGATGCAGTAGCTCAAAAAAGGGATCACTCCCACCCCATCGATACACAGGGTTGACAGGTATGGGCAACTTAGACATTGGCTACCCAAAATGGGGGTGAGGGGTGTGGGAGCTACTAAGGCAAGAAGTGACTGTCTTACAAGCTTTCAAGAGTGTGCCTAGTTTCAGACGGGGCAGGGGAAGGTAGAATCTTCACTGAATGATTTCCAACCTGTTGGGACGGGACTAATGAAAGGAGATGGGGATAAGACTCGTGCAGTACAATAGTGAATAATTGCTATAATGTAAAGGTAGATGTTTTGTAACAAAAGGAGGGAAGTGACTGATTTTGCAGTCCAGGAGCAGAGGTCCCTGGAACCATCAAGTGAGAAAAGCGGAGGGCAGGACCCTATCCAGAGAAGCAGTGATGCCAGAAATGGAGGCAGAGACAATAACGTGGACTAGGGACACTGGACTCAGGGAGGGAGAGGGGCTGTGTGCTGACGGCAAGGGGGGCAGGCCTGTGGAGTGTACCCTTTGGTTGTTTGATAATGCATGGAGGGGATTGTAATCATTGCAATGAAATGGGGAGAAAAAAAAATCCATATGAGAACTAAATGTGCTACAGAAGGGGTGGTTACTGGCATTTTTGCAAAGTATCAAAAACTATGACAAATACAGATTCTGCATTTAGTTCATTGCTTTTGATATAAATCTGACTTTCTGTAAGACAGGATCTTTATAGCAATTAAAGAGCTCTTACCTCCAGCCAACATTGCAGTAAGGACTATTCCACAGGACCAAACATCAACTGGTTCTGCATGAAATTCTTTTCTCTTTAAAAGTTCTGGAGCAACATAAGGTAAAGTACCACACATCTTGTTTAATAAACGTTCACGATTGTTATGTCGAAACACTGTTGCCAAGCCAAAGTCAGAGATTTTGAGGTTATCTAAACCAAAGAACAAAAAAAAAGGCACTGGGTAAAAATGTTTTGTAAATAAATACACAACAGTAAGTGAAGAAAGAAGTTCTGCTACATAATCATAGAAACATTTGCTAAACAAAAATATCAAAATGCTATCATTTCGCGACATACCGTCTATACAGGTCTATATACTTCTAAAGGCAAATTTCTATCTCTCTAGCCCTTCCATGAAGAATTTTGTGGTCTTTGATTTATGCTACATCAAAACAGCATATTTGGCATCCCTGACAGGCTTCTTTATAAATACTGTTTGGTGTAAGGAACAAAGAGAAGTTTGATAGGGTGAAATCTGGTAAGACTGTACAGTGGATAAGGTAAGTTTCTCAATAAACTTTGGCACATAAACATGATGGAATATTACACAACACTGCTAAATACCTCACAACATGGATAAACCTTGAGAACATTCTGCTGAGTAAAATTAGTCACAAAAGGGCAAATACTGTATAAGACCAATATTCTAAAAAGTTAAGAAAAGGTTTTCTTGATAAAACAAATAATCTGTGATGTTAATTGAGGAAGGGGGTAGAATTATTGACGGACTAGAGGGTCGACACATATTAACAGAAGTGACAGGGCAGCTAATATGCAACAAGAGGGAGGCTAGTAAAGGAAAGATGAAGGTAGCAGTTGACACAGGATAAATGCAATAGTTAAAGTGAATAAACACTGTTAATTATTGGTACCTGGAGGGGACTGCAAACACTGTAATGAAGCAAAGTATATGATTTTTTCAATGTAAAACTGATGACCTGCTTTGTAAACCTTCACTCAAATCACAATAAAGATTTAAAAAAAAAAAAGGTGTAGAAGCTAAGGATAGACATACAAGGTTCAAAGGAGAAAACAAACAGGTGATGCAATATAGGAAAAGGCTGTATTATCTACAGATTAATAAAAGGCAAGAATTGCTGTACAAAAGTAATCCACCACCAAATTGGAAGAAAACTTTTAAGAACTAAGACATTTAACCCAGGAGATGAAAGTACAAGCAGATAAGCTCAAATGACTGAACAGAACTGAATTGGAAATACTTTCAAATAAGTGTCTGAGCTTACAGAAAAGAGATAAAATTTCAGGAAACTTTAGAAATGTAAATACAACTTGAATAAGAAATGTAGAGAAGTGCCTGTGGCATTAAAGGAAAGCAGCCAAGAAACCAGTTCTGTTTCACAAACAAGGAATGCTGCTCATCCTAGTGTCCAAATATGGTGTTAGTATCATCCACGCCAGATGGTCTCATCGAATTCAAAAATTCAGATCCTGCTGATCTAGATAAAACTATTACAGAAGAGACAAGAGAGCTTATGAGGAAGTATGAGTCTTGACTCTATATCCTTCAGTAAGCCTGCAGAGATCCACTTATCAAATGAATTTCTTATAACCAAATATTGCTTGAGGAAATGGGCCCAAATGAAGCCATCATCATGGGCGTTAAGAATGTCCTGCAGAAAAAGCTAGAGGAATATGATGGCAGCAATGACACAGTAATGTGAAAGAAATCATTGAGTAATTTAAATCATCATAGGTCATGCACTTATAATGATAAAACCAAAAACAAGGTATCTATCAGTGGAATGTTTACAATAATTTATTTTCATTTTTATTTATGCTTTTATTCACCCAACAGTGCATCCCGAAACAACATTGGTTATAATTTTACCTGCTTTTTGAAATTGTTTTAAAAGTTCCTTTCAGGTTCCAGAAAAATAAAAAGCTGTTGAAAGAAAACTTGAAGAATCCTGAAAGCACCTCAGGAAAAACAAAAAGTTACCTACAAAGGAGAACCAATAAGACTAAGTTTTGACTTTTCAGCAGAAACCATATAGGCAAGAAGGCAATGGGATGACATATAAAATTCTGAAAGGAAAAAATTGCCAACCAAGAAGCACATACCTATCAAAGCTGTCCCTCAAATATAATGGCAAAATTGAGACACTCAATATCATCAGTCAAAACAAGGCCAGGAAAGACAATGCAACAGATCATCAATTGGTTGAATGTAAGTTCAGGCTGAAGCTGAAGAAAAATAAAACAAGTCCCAAGAGCCAAAATATAACCTTGAAATATTTGTTGTTGTTGTTAAGTGCCGTCAAGTCGGTTCCGACTCATAGCGACCCTGTACAGGATTTCCGAGGGTGTAAATCTTTACGGGAGTAGAAAGCCTCATCTTTCTCCCGCGGAGCAGCTGGTATATCCCACCTGAATTTAGAGATCTCAAAAAAAGCATTGACGCATTAAATACTGGTGACTGAACCCCAACAGAATTGTGGGATCACATTAAGAACAAAGTGAGAGAATTCCGGTTGGGGGCTGCAGCCCTGTAAGACAAGTAGGGTACACTCTAGTGAGAAGGGAGGGGGATCTCACGAAGGAAGCACTCATAGAACAACTCCAGAGCTCCGGATCCACCATAAGATCCAGGACGTCAGTCTCCCAAACTCTCCTACTAAGGAAAATACAGGCATTTTAGGAATCTGGAGACTGGACCGCCTCAGGCCCGGCAGAGTTTAGAGGGCGGGGCTAAAGCCTGCCCAGTTCAGAAAGCAGAGTTTCCACCAAAAAAAAAAAAAGAGAGCGAGAAAACCCACAAGAAACTATACATTTCTCCCTCTCTCTCTCCCTGTCCCAGCTTTATTTCTCAGCCAGGACATTAGGCAGGACAGTTTTCCCATGGCACAGAGAGAGGGAGCTGGGCCGCAACTTATGACATCACCCACAGGCCCAAATCTGAGGCTGTGTATCTGAGCCAGGGGTGGGGCACCTCGCCTTTCTCCCAGGTGTTGTTGTTAAGTGCCGTTGAGTCGGTTCTGACCCATAGCGACCCTATACAGGGTTTCCGAGGGTGTAAATCTTTACGGGAGTAGAAAGCCTCATCTTTCTCCCGCGGAGCGGCTGGTAGTTTCGAACCGCTGACCTTAAGGTTCGCAGCCCAATTCGTAACCACTACGCTACCAGAGTTGGAATTTCCAGCTATTGTTCTAGTAATCCCAAGCCGCTGAGCTGCCAGACAGGTCTGGCGGCATAGGATCAACACAAAGTAATCTGTAAAACTGCAGCATAATAGCACTGAACCATTCCGAGATTTGCTGTGCACATGCAGATAACTAACTGAGCTTCAGAGATAAAAATAGTGGACAATCTTTCTCCCATTAGCTCCCCAATATCTACCTGCACACTAGAAGATTCCCACCACAAGCAACCTGACCAGGATTCTGAGGTGGAACATCTGAGCTGGGGATGGGCACCTCGCCTTTCTCCCAGGGAGCACCTTAGAATCTCCAGCTATTAACCTTGCAATCTGAGGCCTGGCCGCAACCAGAGTTCGCTGGGCAGGACAAACTCAAAGCAATCTATAAAATCCCAACAGAATAGATCTCAACCATCCCGAGATTGGCGCTGAGCACACGCAGATAACTAACTGACCTTCAGAGACAAAAAATAGTGATAGATCTTTCTCCCGTTAACTTCCCAATATATATCTGCCCACCTATATGGTAGTGGCTAGAGAAAGGGCCTGAAAGAGGGGTCACCCCCACCCCCTGCTGGAGGCTTCTATTTGCACACACACTGATGGTGTAGCACGGGAAAGCTGACCAAAGTGGCATCTCTGCTCCAAAGTGGTGATTTTTGTCTATGTGTTTATATTACTTCTGCTTTTGGTCCTTTTGATCACACATCTTTCCTGGAGGTGGGGGCTTTTCCTCCCTATGTCACCTAAGAAGAGGCAGCAATCGTGGCCATATAGCCAAGCTATAAGCATACACCATAATGCTCCATCACTGAGACAAGACCTAACAACAGCTGCTACGCATTACAGGTGATACGGGAATCCTATCTCCTGATCATATTATTATTAATAATAATAATGACAAATAAAAGGCAACAAACCTTACTGAAACACATCCCAAAACAGAAGACTGCAGCTGATGCAAATGAACTGGAAGCAGATAAAGGATTTATAGAGGCGGAAGAGCAGGTTCTGGATATGCCTCAGAGGGAATTCAAAAGAATGATATGGAAACAAATTCAAATGCTCTGAAAAGGGGTCAAGGAAAATAAGGAAGAAGTAAGAAAAGTACTAGAGGAACAATCAAATAGGATTGACACAGCACTAGAAACAATTCAAAACCAGCAAAAAGATGTCCAGATGATCAATAATAAGATGTCAGAAATGGACAATACAATGAAAGGGGAAAGAAGCAGACTAGAAGAGATGGAAGCCAGAACTAGTGAGCTGGAAGACAAATCTCTAAATACTGCCAAGATAGAAGAGCAAGCAGATAAAAGGGTAAAACAATCTAAAGACAGTTTAAGATTCATGCTGGATAACATGAAGAGGAATAATGTAAGAATTATTGGCATTCCGAAACAGGAAGAATCAGAGAAGTCCACAGAGGAGATAGTTGAAGAGCTTCTGGATGAAAATTTCCCTAACATCTTGAAAGAAGAGAAGATAAACATTCAAGAAGCCCAACGTACCCCAGTAAGGATAGACCCAAAAAGAAAGTCTCCAAGACATATAATAATCAAGCTTTCCAAAATCATAGACAAGGAAAGAACATTAAAAGCGGCCAGGGAGAAGAGAAGTATCACTTATAAAGGCAAGCAAATTAGATTAAGCTCTGACTATTCAGAACAAACCATGCAGGCAAGAAGGAAATGGGGAGACATATACAAAGCCCTCCAAGAAAAAAAACCTCAACCAAGAATAGTCTGCCCAGCAAAACTATCAATCAAATACGACGGTGCAATCAAAACATTCCAGGAAAAAACAGAATCTGAGAGATTTTATAAAAACCAACCCAGCACTTCAGAACATCCTAAAGGGAGTTCTGTGGACTGAGAACCAACAAGAATAGACAACAAACAGAGACTGACAGGTGTGGCAACACCACCTGGAACACAGCCAACAGATAGCAGAGTCCAGAACAGAACAAGACTACAACAACAAATTCAAACGA